TTAGGGATGGGGAAAGAAAGAGCTAAAGTAGCTCTGCATCCTCCTGTACAGTAGCTATAAGCTCACTTGCCCACACAAGCCWGGCYTCACWGCATTGTTTCATGTTTCAAGTGGAYTTCAATCAGTACTRCCATTACTCTATCTTCTTTGYAAACATTCAGTTTTGGGAGTTGGATTACCTTAACTAACCAAGAAAGAAAAAGTATCAATGCAGTGCTGTTCCTTCACCACGCCCTCCTGGCATCAGACAAGAAACAGTGCCAGGATGGAAGCTGGGCCCTGGAGGCAGCGCAGGGCACAGGAGATTTAGATCAGTTTAAAATCCCATGGAATCAAACCCTTAGCAAYGTGTTCCTTCCATAAAATCACAGAAGGGAGAGTGACAAGACAGTCTATTCAGACTGACAGCCCTTRTATAAATACTAATGAATATATACTGACCATGGATAACATTTAGTGATGATATTTGGAAGGTTTCAAGCCAGAAAAACATGTCCTTGAAGAGCTACCCAACAGAATACTGGTAAAAAACATTAAGGTAGTTTCAAAAGAGCATCTGATGAACTTTTAAAAGAGGATACACAATGTTGTATGTGATGGCAAAAAACCTGATTCTGTAATCTATGAGAGTTTTTCCAGGAAACTAGTACTAAGTTCCCAAAGAGTACCAAGTTACCCCTTCAGGAGAGAAGACAATGWATTGGTCCTAAGAGTTTCATCATACCCAGGGATTCCAAACTTGACTTGATCTCTCTTCTATAGTGGTTTTCTTGGACTTCTTGTAAGCAGAGCACCTAAGGCAAAGGTTTAAAATTAAAATATATTAGTAAGCACATCAAAACATTACCACAGCATATCTCTATTGGCCAGTTTTTACAGGTATTAAAAAAAAACAAACTCAGAAGCTTTTTGACTCCATAATTCCACTCTTCTATAAAAAATGCTCCTTAAGATTATGAAGAAGGTCCCAATTCCTCCCACCCTCAGACATRTATTTTTAGAGGTGAGATTAAATTTAATCAAAATAGTAAACTGCTACTACATTCTCAGCAGTTCAGGGGAAGGCTTAGTGCCAGAGAGGAGGGTAGAAGAGGCCAATGGCATACTCTAGGATGGAAAACAAGCTTCCATAGAATAAGAATCGGAACCAAAGATCAGACTGAAAATACTAATTTAAGAGAGTTCGCAGAGTCACAGAATATTTTGAGTTGGAACGGACCCACAGGGATCATGAAGTCCAACTCTAGTTGTGAGCATCTTTGAGCCTTCTCCCTGCAGACTGCARTAACACACAGATTTACAGCCCCTTAGCACTGGCATACAGGACTGGGATCCCAAAGGGGACCAAGCTGCCTCGCTTGCTGAACTGCAGCARCACACTCCATTTGCCCAGCTGTCATCAGCTCATTAAAGGTCTCAAAGGAGAGCTGAATCTTCAAGCAGCATTCTGAAATCTCTGCTTCTCTTGTAGTCACAGTTCAACCAATGAAAATCGATGTCCTTTAGCAAGAAATTTCTCTGTGGAAACGGCACCTGCATCTACCAGTGTCTGACAGCAGCTGCTCCTCTCTATCGAAGGCATCTCATTGTAAAGACACATGCATACAGTATGTATAAATTTATTAGGAAGAACGGAAGTGCTTGAAAGGGACTTTAATTTCCAGATTCCTGGCTACATACTAACATAACTGCATTTTTCAAATGGTACAAGGCTGCTTTTCTGTGGCTTCCCTAATACMACTACCTTTATCCAGTGCTGTTTTCTGACACAAACAGGTTGGATTCTATCACTGAACTTTTGCTGGTATGAACAATGACTGAAGCAAAATTTTACTGAATGGACTTCCTGATTAAGACTTAAAATAATTTATGTATCCTCAAAAACATCGAGTAGCAGAATTTGCTACTGCAGTTTATCAGTTTTTAAGAAATATCCACATGCTCATTTTTTACTCACATCTGCATCCAGCTCTTTGATTTCTTGTAGGATGTTGGGAAATCTGTATGTCCAGAATAACARTCGCTGCCTGCAGTGTTTGTACAGGTGAGAGTTGTCTTCCAATAAATTCTGTGAGAGAATATTGTAGGACATAACCGTAAAATCAAATGTTGCCTCACTTTCTGTATTGCTTTGGTTAGAGCCTCTGTTTTCAGCGATTTTCATTGTTTTGCTCTGCTGACAGAAATATTCCCAATGTCTTTTGATGATTCCTGTTAAAAGCACATGAAACAGGAAAAAGTTATGTAATAGACCATTTGACTTCTTACTGCTCTTGGAAATCATTCTACTGACAACTATTTGTCTTTCAAATTGCTTAAATAATTACAAAAGCTTATTCAATTAGTAGTGATTTAGACCCTCTGTTTAAGATGAATTTTATATAAGCATCAGTAAAAAAACCCCCAAAAATAAAGAACCCAAAAACCCACAAAAACAACAAAAAAAACCCAAAACCCAAACAACGAAACAAAAAACCCCAAAAGAAACAACCACACCACCCCCCCCCAAAAAAAAAACCAAAACATTATATGCCCTGGATTTCAACTGCTTAGAAAGTGGGAAACTGGCATGTTCTAAGTAGATTGTTGCAATCAGACTATACCCCTGCTCCAGCAGAAGGACTGTCAAACTGGGAAGCCAAATGCAGTCTGTTGAGTGCCTTCTGCCACTGCCTCCTCAGCAGAGATGGTGTATGTCAGTCTGGGATACACTCTTTATGGCAGTATATAGGCATCTTGTTGATCTCATGACTAACAAAGGATTAGGCATCAATCAATCACCTCTAGACTGTGTAGAACTCACCCATAAGCTGCAACAGGGTCTACTACAGGGGTCCCAAATAATTCCTCAGTGAGTTGACAAATCAAGAAATTAGTAAGTCTCAGAATAACCAAGAAATTCTGGAAAGGCTTCCTTTGCCATTTCTGCCATTTCTAATTTCATACTTACTATTAATATGAAATTTAAGAACATATCTGCCCATCATTAAGCATCCACTTAATTTCTAAGAAATGTATTTCTCCACTTAAAAACTCATGAACAGAGGTGCCTTTCACCCTTTATATCACCCTGAATTCATCTGAGAGTGAGGTGAGGTCCAGTTACTTCTGCTAACAACCAGTGGCAGCCGGCARCTATAGCTGTTACCATCTGTCCTATTTGGGTAGTAAATTTCATTGCTGTGATTAGACTATTCAGAACTTTATAGTGTTTGCAGTGAATACAGCAAGGTTTTAAGCTCTGTTTCTAGGTGGAAGAGAAGCCACATTGCTCCTCAGCAGGTATTTTTAAATACCATCACCTTATAAAGGGTCACTAGGAAGGATCACAATGCCGACCACACTCTCAGATAAATATATGTCAAGCAGAGTTAAGAGAGGACTCAGCCATTAAGGCACAAAGCAAACTCCCTTCCTTTGGCTCCTGAAGATGGATATGATGTTTCTAAGCCTTATSGATACTTGTGTCAAAAAATCTGTTTGGGATGCATCTATTGCCCTTTTTAGTCATAATACAATTTCCAGTTTATTTTGCTAAGGAAGTGATTTTTGACTGTCCTTTTATTTGTTTYACAGTAGACAAAACTGTTAATATACACAAAACTCAGTAAAATATTTTGATGCTRTGTAGAAGATTGTACTGTAATAAGCTAACACCAACATTCTGAAGTTTCATGGAAGTTTGTTCCTGAGCCCACTAGACAAGTCTGCACTTTTTCCTGGATAAGCACACTTGCTGCTTGCCCCGTCAGACGTGACCTGACACAAAACTTGCTAACATGCCTGCGGCAGAATGCATTTGTAGAACAAAATCAAAATCACACTGGAATCAAGCACCACTAAATCTTAGTCCATTAATTCTCAGTTTTCTAGGTCATAGATAACTCAACTGGTCTGGAAAGAAACCAGTTCTGGTCCAGCAGGGCTTATGAGCCCAGGTAGAGTAGTAGCAATACAACTGCCAGTCCAGCTCAGCCCTACACTAAGTCAGCCAAATCTTCTTGCTTTTTACATTTTCCAAGTTTAACACACATGATCAACTGACAGTGACATGAGAGAGTGTTGTCTGAACCAAGCCCTGGGCTCTCCAGGTYGAGCAATCCCTCACATAAGTGACTGTTCTACTGCCAAGTGCAGTGAACCTCATTCTTGTAAACTGTTTGACAACACAAAATACAACCATACAAACTAAACAGCATTACAAAACTGGGCCATTTTTAAGACRTATTTTCCTGTCAAGAGGGGTGCCAAGAAAAACACTAACTCAAAAGGAGGAGGCAGTACTGCTCGTAACACAAACTTGTTCGGTGTATCAAGCATTACAAATAAAAATGGAAAATGAGAAAAGAGTATCTTGTACCTTTCTTGCYGCTATGTTTTTCTTCATTCTCTGCTACAGAAAGACAAGATACCTCCTTCTCATTAGACAAGTTTGTTTCTTGCTCAGGAGTTGAAGTATCATCCTGGTCACTGAGTCTTCTCTTCTTTGTCAATGGTTCTTCTCCCTCAGATTTCATACTGGGGCTGGGTAGGTGAAAGCAACAACTTTGTGTGTAGTTATCAAGATGCCAATTAGAGTTCTGAAATTGTCTCCAAGGTCCAAAAAATGAAGGGAATCTCCAGTTTGCTGAGAAATCAGCTGAGACAGGAAGCGGAAACGATGCCCATGGAGGATAGTGTCCGGCCCATCTCACACAGCTGGAAACTGGGCTGTTCAAGGCCAGCATCTGGGAGCCATTCCAGTGGGTGATCCAGTCCCTGCCCAGCCTCTGCACATGGCGGGGCAGCATCGGGTGTCTACCAAAAAAAGCACAAATTTCATCACTTGCACACAACTCCAGCCATCTGTAGAAGGCTGTAGAAGCAAGYAATCAGATCAGGACTTACACAAGATATTCCATGTCTGCAAGTTAACATATACAAGACATTCAAACACTTATRTACAAGATATTTAAGCATTTATCTAAATTATATGCAAAATGGAACTTTACAAAGTGATCTTGCATCCTTTTCTGTTCCTCAGATTTACAAGTGCCATTTAGTGTCCAAACCCTTATCCATCAGAATAACAATTTACAATTTATTTCTTGCCTTGTGGAATTCAAGTGTCAGATCTTTAAGCACTCAGAGGAATGACCTTTACAAAAGGTCATTTTTTCATGCTGCATTAACTTTATCATAAGACTAGTAAAGAATGAGAATTTCCTGCGAGCAGTCAGAACTTTGCTTGGAAAGSCACTGATTTGGCTCAAATCCCAATGCCAACACGACAGGGAAATAAAGGTACWAAGTGTCAAGACATCACTAGCACCAGCTTAAGACTAAATTTGTATTTTAATTTCTTTTCCAGGATGGCAAACCACAGCTCAGCAACTAAAGCCATGAAAATAAGTTAGGTTTTTTTTTTAATTTTTTTTTAGAGAAAAAAATAAATCTGCCTCTCAATAAAATTTCGGGAAGGAAGGCTGAGTGACAATATAACAATCTATCCCAGCTTTCCCACTGTTTAAATAAGAAGGTGTATTTTGAGCTAACAAGCAAAAGATAACAAAGCTTASTATGCCTGAAGTTGAACTGAAGAGAACCTCCCAGCTGCCATCCAGCTGAGCAAATAAGCCGAAACACAGAATTAGTGAATCACATAACATGCTGAGTTGGGAGGGACCCACAAGGATCATTAAGTCTAACYCRTGGCCCKGCACAGGACACTCCAAGAATCACATCATGTGCCTAAGAGCATTGTCCAAACACTTCTTGAGCTCTGCCAGGCTTTGTGCTGTGACCACTGCCCTGCCTACCCTCTGGGTGAAAAACCTTTTTTTTTAATAACCAGCCTAAACCTCCCCTGACACACCTTCAGGCCATTCCCTCAGGTCCTATCACTGGTCACCACAGAGAAGAGATCAGTGTCTGCCCCTCCTCTTCCTCTCACGAAGAAGCTGTAGACTGTAATGAGTTCTCCCTTCAGTCTAAAGACTGAACAGTCTAAAMGACCTCGGCCGCTCTTCGCATGGATTCCCCTCAAGGCCCTTCCCCATCTTTCCTGCCCTCCTGTSGACGGTCACTAATAGCTAATACACCTTTCAGCAAAGCCGGCTTGTCCTGAAACAACCCTTTTCCACCACAGCGCACCATATGTATTCCGGCAGATACACAAACAAATCACCCCCCAGGACACCACAGCATTACTATGGAGCAAAAAGAGGCACCATTCCTTTACAAAAACCTCCTGAAACACTTCCTTTCCAGAAAAGCGCTGAGAAACTGCTCCCCGGCCCCACCGCCGCCCACCGCCGGCCGCAGACCGCCCCACGCCGCGCTGTGTTTACCGCGGCCCTGCTCGGCCTAGCGGCGAGCATTTAACACCAGCGCCCCCAGCCCCGGTTACCTCCCGGCCGGCCCGGGCACAGCCCCGGCCCAGGGGGGCCCCGCTCCCGGCCCCGCGCAGACCCAGCGCCCCCCGAAGGGGTCAGCCCAGGGCAGCGCCAGCTCCGCCCGCCGCGCTCCGGCCGCCCCGCCGCCGCCTCGTACCCGGCACGGGCCGCGGCCGCGCCGCGCCCTCCCGCTCGCTCCTGGGACTTGTAGTCCAAGGGCCGGGCCCGCGGCCATGTTTGGTTCGGGAAGCTGACGCCGAGGCCCGGGCGCCATCTCGGCCGCGGGCGGGTGACATCCCCGGGGCGCCGCGCTCCCCTCCCGGGGGCCGCTCCGGAGCAGCGCCCGCCCCAGAGCGCAGCAAAGGCGGCATGAAGGCAGCCTGGTTGCGGACTTTTAAGCGTTTACATGGGTGTAACACTGCGTTCATGCAGTAGTTTCCTCACCCAGAAGGTAAACCACTGCCCAGGGAAGTGGTCACAGCATCAAGTCTGGCAGAATTAAAGAAGCATTTGGATAACGCTCTCAAGCACATGGTGTGACCCATGGGGATGCCCTGTGCAGGACCAGGGGTTGGACTTTGATGATCTCTGTGGGTCCCTTTCAGCTCAGCATATTCTGTGATAGTTTCCTTTCGTGGTCTTCTCCCTGGGGTCACCGTGTGTTCCTGCAGGGTCAAAGGGGCTGAGAAAGAGCTGCCGTACATATCAAGGTGCCGTGTACTTCAAGGGAGGCAGCACCACGCCTAATTGTTTGCAGAAAAAAAMCCAAACCCCACTCACCCAAACAAGTATTTCATTATCGTCAGGTTTTAAAATGCAGCCGAAGGTGCTCTGCTGAGACCTGGCCTGAGGGATGGGTGGGAGACCTGCCCGCCCTGCAGACCCCACTGACAGACCCACCGCTGCTTACCAGCTGCAGAAACAATCTTCTGGCTCTGCCCATGTTGCTTGAATAAGCACTTAAAACGCTTTCTTGAGGTCTTCTGAGGACACAGTAAATGCTGGCCCTGTTTACTGTAATGAAACATAGCACAGTGCATATGAAAAATTATAGTGCTGAATAGTGCAGATGCTGCGCAGGAACTGTAATCAAGTAAAATATTTTTTCTCTGCATTCCTTTTATATGTGCCATAAAAGYGACTTTAAATAACATTTGAAGTTTTCCCAGGAGAGGTAGGGAAGACTAGAATTGAAGTAATGCARTGATGAGCACGCTATTTAGGTTATGTGTGAAATTCACTTTGGGTTTTCCACTTCTTGGACACAACTTACTGGTGAAAAGTAAAAATACCCATCCATTTTCTGTTCATTTCTTTACAATATAATATGAGAGAGAAGCTATTAGCCCTATAATACACTTATAGTAAAGGATCTCTCAACTCTGTTTTCAAGACCATCTTGTCTTGGTGGTTTGTACTTTTCTAAATTTTGTATGCTTATCTTTAGATGYATTTCTAGGACAGAAGACAGTATGCCATAGCTATAGCAGAAACAACAGCTGTTATTTTTGAGAGCAGAATCTACACATAGCATGCAGTTATTTTCTGTATTTTGACCTGCACAGGACATCCAAATTGATCTGTCACTTCAAAGGTTTTWTACATAGTAGTAATCTCAGTAGTGATGCTGAAAAAAAAATAATCACTGAAGCTTTGGGTTTTAATGAAAAGGAAGATGTGCTGAAAAGCATAAAAGTTGTGTAACGACAAAATAGAAGATAAAAAAAAMCCCTAACCTATTAATATGATGCAATTATGATATCTCTCATTTCAGTGTTGCTAGATTTTCTTGCCTTGATCTAGAAAAGCCTTAATAAGGCAATAACAYTTAATAGTGGATTTTCTTTATTCTTGTCTAATTACTGTTTTGTGTTGGCTATACTATGTGAAAAGATATTCTTCAGAATTAGGTATCTCCAAATTCTGATTTGTAAGTGGAAGCCAARTTATTTTATGAGTCATTTGAGCTTTTGAAACTCCCCAGTGAATGGAGGCTACTGACTCACTGAGGGATGCTTTGATTGATTACGCTGCACATAAGAACAGCCACGGTGGYTCACATCAATGGTCCACTGAGCTCAGTTTCCTACTTTCTAAACGTGGCTAGCAGCAGATGCCTAGAAATGTGCAGGGGCTGGGCAAACTTCAAATGAACACTCTCCCTGCCTCTTGCTGTTTTCAGCTCTGTACATTTCCCTAAGCCTGATGTGTTTGTCTCTTTAGTTATTCACTCTCTCCCCYCAAGTACTTGAATTTGCAAACTTCTGGTAACTTACATAAAACTTCCATCAAGTTCTATGTACCAGTACAAGATATAAAAGACACGTTCTTGCTCTCTCAGATGATAAGTGAGTGATGAGCTGCTAACAACCAATGTCCTCTTTCTTCCCTCTTAAGAAAATGTTCCTCCAAGGAGAGATGCTTGCTTTCTCTGAACTTCTGTACAAGAGACTCTCACCTTTCACAAAGACATGAAATTAAGTATTGTTAAATACTTTATGTCAAAAAATCTGCATGGAACAGAGATATTGATAACCTGGTAAGGAAAAGCTGTTTTTTTAACACCCGCAATTAAATGAATGAAAGCACAGCGATTTAAAAAAAAAATTGTAAGAGTTTATATAATCTGAAGCGTGAGATCTGCATTGGTATAGATCCCTCGACAGATAAGAAATCGACGGTAATCTTATGAAAGCACAAGGCCCTGCAGCACAAAGTTATGCTCCTTAAAACTGAAGCAATGCTCCTCAAACCCTGGAAGGTTTCCTAACACCAAGGTATTCCACGAACCTGTGTGCACATCCACAGGGAGAAATCCAGGTACAGCTTAAAGAACCTGAAGGAGACACAACACACAAAACATGGTGACTCAATAACCATCAAACTTGCCTTTCTGCTAGCATTCCTCTTTAAAATCCGTGAGTCATTTCTGCGTTATAGGCCTATGGATTTAGGGCAGCATATCTTAAAATAGCCCACGGCAAACGCTGGGAGCGGCGTACCAGGGGCTCATTCGGGATTTGTAGAGGCCGCGGGGGGCTGTGGTAGCACGGGGCTCGGCGGTCAGTCCCCGCCGAGTGTAAATCCCGCRGGGCCGTGGCCTCACACAACACCAGGAACGGGGCTGCCGCGCCACCGGGCTGTGCCTGCAGCGCCYGGGCCGTGACACCGCGGCCTCATCGCTGCAGCGCGGACTTTCGGCCCCGGGAAAAGGTCGCGATCCGGGGCTGCTCAAAGGCGAGCATCCCGGGCCGGCCGGGCGGGGCTCCCCGGGCCGATCCCCCCGGCACCGCCCGGGCGGGGCGGGGCGTTCCCGGGAGCCGCTTCCGCCTGTGCCGGGCAGGCGGGAGGCGCGGCGGGGGCAGCGGCAGGATGCTGAGCCCGCGGGAGCGCGGCGCCGACCTGGCCCGCTTCTACACCGTGACGGAGCCGCGCCGCCACCCCCGCGGCCACACCGTCTACAAGGTCACGGCGCGGGTGAGTCGGCGGCCGCCGCCCTGCCCCTCGCCCCCGCCGCTCCCCGCGGCCGGCCTTGCCCCGCGTTCGGTCTGGAAAGCCGCTGCTGGGTGCGGAATAGCGCTCGSCGCTGCCGTGCCCGCGGGGATCCTGGCACGCCCGGCCGCGACGTGGAAGCCCCTGTGAGAGACACGGGCGGGAGGGAGGAAGGGAGGGAAGGTGGGACACGGCGACCCCTCCCGCGCCGAGCCCCCGCCGCCTCCTGCAAACTTGTAGCCTCACGACGTTGTAATGGCCTCAGACACGTTTTGCAGTTAACTCTCTATTTCCGTGCTGTGCTTTGCAGGGCATGCGAGAGTAGCTTAAAAACAAACAGCTCGTTCTTTTTTCCCCCCCGTTCTTCTCCAGATGTCGTGGATGGGTTGCAGCGGGATGGCCCAGCCTTGCTGGCAGCCCCGCAGCGCAGCAGCGAGCCCGRGAGGAGGCGGGAGGGAGCGGAGTGTGTGGGCTCTGCACGCCCACTGCCCGAGCCGCACATGGAGCTCAGCCTGCCCGCCAGGGTCCAGGGGGGATCGGGGGGAATCGGGCCTGGCAGGAGAAGCAGGAAAGCTGCCGCAGTTATTGCGAGAGCTGGTGTGGTGCTGGCTTTGCTGAAAGCTCTGTCTGTCTGTCTAGGGAAATTCCTTGCTTTCTTGTCTCTTCCACTTTCCTATTAGGCCAGAAAAGGGAGGAGAGTAAGTAAATATGTGGGGATAGATGTAAAAGGAGCGGGAATTTAGCCCACAGGTGTGATGGGATGTATTGAGGGCATCAGAAAGTGTTACAGAGAGACAGAGTTTCTTTGGATGACCTGTGATCTTGTAGTTACTGCAGCTGTAGGCATCCTGCCTGTAAGAGCAACATATGCACCCTCCTCTTAATTAAAAGAATACAGCATTCTGTATATGTTTATATGTTGTGTGTCAGATCGTTACCCTGTGATCAGTTTGTATGACTTGTAAATAATATTTTAATTTTTTTGTCAAATATACATATCCAAGTTCACCAAACACAAATGTTTTTAAACTATTCATTTTAGGCCAGGAGGAAAAAAAGAGTTTCTTTTTCTTATTACGTTTTAATTTAAAAAGGCTTTCCTGAGAGGCAGAGAGGAAAACAGTGCCATCACATCTTTCTGCAGGAGCTCTTGATGGGCTAAGTGTGTGTGTACTAAAAAGTTGTGTCAGTGCAATAGGTACTAATAGGAACGAGCCAAGGCTTCTGCTTCTTAYTTTACTCTGGTGACTTTGTTCTTACTGGCTAAAGCCAGTTAAATTTGTCTGTGATGCTTTGGTTTCTGTAGAATTGTTCACAATTGAGTTGTGGCTCACTAGTTACAGATGTCATTCTCTCTCCTTGTCCCATAAGCTGTGGGTGCTCGGGTGCCTTTCCAAGTGATGCGGTGCAGAATCAGGTGGTGCACTGACTGCACATGATTTAGCACAGAGCAAGGAGCTGATCAGTCTGTGAGCTGTCCAAATTCAACTGACCTAACCAGAGATCATTACTTTTGCACAGTGTTTTGATAGCTAAAATCCTCAGAGTGAAAAATAATTTCATTTTTTTTTGCAGCAAAGAATGCTTTGGGCTCACAAATGCAGAAGTATAAATAACTTGTTTCAGCAGGGCTCTATCTGGTAATCTGTTGTG